GGAGGTATATCTTAGTATTATTCTCATTTTACGCATGACTAAACTATGGCTGAAGGAGGTTAAGTGACTTGTTCAGAGTCATACAATTAGTAAATACAATTAGTCTCATCCTGTATTTGAACTCAGGTCTTCCTAATTTCAGGTCCAATTTATTCAATACAACACCTAGAAGTCTCTCTCTCTCTCTCTCTCTCTCTCTCTCTCTCTCTTTCTCTCTCTCTCTCTCTCTCTCTCTCTCTCTCTCTGTATATATATATATATATACATACATATATGTATATATATATAAAACATCTACATGAATATATGTAAATATGTTTGTATATATGCATATATAGTTATAATTAATGACACATTAATTCCCACCCATTCCTTCTATAGGGGAGTAAACTGAGACTTTTGGAGGTAGATGGAGGAAACTGAGACTTTTGGAGGTCATTCAGTAAGCGGCAGTGCTGAGATTCAAACCTAAGTCTTCTAATTCCAAGTTGTCATAACCTATTGCACCATACTCAAAGGCGCATTCTAGCTCTCACCTTCTGGGCATCAAAATGGCAAGAATTTATTAAGCATCCACTTGTCTCCAAGTATGTCCTAGGTATTGGGTCTACAAAGACAAAAGTGCAAACAGTACCTGCCCTTCAAGGAGGAATCTGGGATTTGTCACATCGTTCCTCTCTCAGTTCCTCCTTTCATCATCTCAGGGTATAATAAATTGGGGTAACTATACCTGTGGTTTTATGACTCTTCACTGCTGTAAAGATTTAGGTCCTGAAGGGAGATGATCTGTGACTCAGGAAGACCACTAGAGATGGAGAAGAGAACACCTCAGTAAATACTAAAAAACACCTGTACCACTCAAATAAATACCCCATTTAGGGTCAGGTTAGTTACCCTTTTCTGATTTAAGAATTGAACAAGATAATGATGTAAGGGTTAGAGTGTTATGATTTCACAACGTGATTTTCCCTGGGCTCCTAAGGCTTCCCTTCCCCCAAGCTCCTGCCCAGAATCCATTTGGGAACTCAAGCAAATCTATGATCTTCCCTCATTTAAATATCCTGGTATAATATTTGCAAATAATATGTTCTTTTCTATTGGAAATATTTCCAAGCAGAGGGAACAAAAATCATTCAAAATCACCGAAGGGTATTCAACTGGTAAAGCAATGTTTGTATATCATTGCAGATTGAAACAGGTCCCTTTCATAAATAATAATGAGGGACTTCACAAAAGAACCCCAGTCTTCCAGAGGGGGAGGAGTAGAAATCATTGAATTGTGGTCCTCCACAAATTCAGGGGAAGTGGAAAAGTTAGATTTTGTTTTGTTTTGGTTTGTTTTCTCTGTCCAGTGAGTTTCCTGCTTCTTAGTGGACTTTTATGTCTACTTCTCCATCTGGAGTTACTTCAGGATTGAGAGGCTTTCTTGGTCACAAGTCCAGCATTATTTAGGTGAAGTTCCCAAGAAATAATAACAATAACAATAACAAATTATAATAATAATAAATTGTCTACAACCATTTCACCTCCCTGCATTTTTAAGTATATTGATTTCCCCCAGGTTTAACAATATCTATGGCCAAGCCTGATTTGAAATTCATGCAGCATTGTAAAATCCGTAAAAAAAAAAAAAATTCTCCCCCCCGCCTCTTTTTCTGTCCCTTCCTTTGTTAGAATTCTCTGAAACTAGCTTACCATTGTTCCTCCAAAATGATCCTTTATACCAGTGCCAGTTTGATTTGCTTTGTTTTCAATTTGGGGACACATTTTTCTACATTAGGGTAAGTAGACTAAGATATTGTCTTTTTGTTTTTTTTTTTATTTTTCTGGAAGAAAAGTACAGTGTTTGCTCTTTTATTATTATATCTTTTTATGAAAGTATGCTCCCCCCCCCACCCCAGTCTCTGAGTTAGAAGTGATCTCAGACAGGGAACCAAGATATCCTCTGTCCTGAACCTGACACTTGGTCATCTAGACTTTGCTTGAAGACCTTAAATGAGGGGAGATCCATAGCTTCCTTAATTAGCCCATTCTTTTGGATATTTGAGGCTGCTGACATTCTCAATTTTTATGTTTCCTCTGTTATATCATACCTGACTCTAAAGGAGGGAATATGACAAGTGGAAAGAACAATGGTTCCAGAATTAGAGGACCTGAATTCATATCCTTCCTTTGACATTTACTACCTTTGTAATCTTAAGTCATTTAACCTCCATGGACCTACATTTCCTTCTGGAAATGGGTGAGTTGTTTTAGATGGCACCTGAGGCCACTTCCAACTGTAAATCTATAATCTGTGCAACTTGCCCTTCTTACTCATGATTCTATCCTCTGGGACCAGCAGAATCTAATTTCTCTTCCATGTGATTGCTTTTGACTCAATATACATAGTTCCATTATCTTATAATAGTTAATAATACTACGTAGCATTTACATAGTGCCTTAACGTGCTTGAGTAACTTGCTAAATACTAGCAAGTCGGGGAAGAGGAAAGAGAGATCATTCTTGCCAGCAGTCCTTTTTACTGATATTAATACGATATTCTTCGTGGGGATAAAAAGAGAAAAACTAAACATTTCTGGTTACCAAAGAGCTTATTTTCTATTGGGGTCAATTAATTCTACTTTCAATATCCTGCCTTTCCCACAAATGTTGCTATAAACAACAAAAAACCCTTCTGATTAATTTAATTTAATTTAATCAATATTTATTAACTGTCTACTGTGAATAAGCACAGTACTAGGTACTAGGAAGTTGAAAAAGGGAAATCGTTCCTACTCTCAAAGAGCTTACATAAATCACATACACAGTAAAGTAAATACAAGGTTATCTGAGGACCAAATTATTTGTTCTGGATTCCATATAGATATATGGAATACATGTATCTATATGTATGTATGTGTTTACATGCATGTATGTATATATGCATATACACACAAACAGATATACATATACATCTATACATACATACACACATACATATATATACACTAAGTAATGCTCAATCACATATTTTATAGCATTGACAGTTTTTTAAAATGCTGTCGTTGTGACAATCTATAAATAGACAAAGAGTTTTGATTAGATTTATTCTAGAAGTTTGGCAGAGTAACGGCAAAGAAACTGTGTGGCTGGTAATATTTTTGTATACAGATGTACAGCTGGTGAATTATTCACTGAATCACAGGGTCTGTGGATAATTCAAAATGGCAACTTTGTGGGGGACCAAGTCATTCCTTCCTGAAGTCATGTTAATGGAAGATATTTTTAGTTCTCTCTATGAATGTTAAATTTACTGCCATTAATGTTTCCTTTGGATATTATGTACCTCATAAATCAGTTTCAACTTTGTTTTTCATTCTATGGATAGCCTATCTTAAATATAATTCATTCGATTCAAATCAGCATAAGAATTGTTAGTGACTACAATTCTTCCCCTTCCTGTAATGGTGATTACTAGTTATATCATCTTATTAGAGATAAGAGTTTGACTGATTTTTGCCCTTCTTGTGCTATTTTTCTTTTCATATAAATTCATATATGGCCAGGAGCAAGGTTGGCTATAAGCCAAATTGTGAAATAAGTAATTTCTTTGAGGATCTTCTCCACTTCTCTTCGCTATTTGCTTCATCTTTCTGCCATCCCCCATCTCACCAGCTGTGCAGTGTCATGACTTCATGCTCTTCTTTTTCTCCCTGAAGGTCTCTAACACAGCATTCTACCTGGTCCTGCCTACCCTAGCTGTGCTCCAAGCATTGGATCATCTCTCCGTGTTTCCACCATACCCTTCAGTTGTAATTAAATTGGGGGGAAAAAAACATGCAAAAACTCCCCTACTGCCATCTCAAGACTTAACTGCCCTGTGTCTGATTTCTTCAAGTTCTTGTGAAGCGATTGTTTTCTTATTTTCTGGTGCAGTAAGGTCTTAACACTCCATCCACTGAAAGCAGAGGTCTGTGGCATTGCCAAGAGGGAAGATATAAGCATTTGATGAGGAGCAAAAAGAGAAAGGAGAAGGTCAGAATTATCTGGATGTTAGATTTTATCAGAAGACTATCTTATAGATGACAGTTGAATATAGCTTTTTTGTTGTTGTTGTTTGATGGTGGTAGTTGGAATTTGATGATAGTAATACACAGAATAATTCATATAGGAAGCCTCACTCCAGAATCTCTGAAACAGTGAACAGGCATGAAAATCAGCAGTTTGGTAGAAGAGTAATTAGCTATAGGGGTTTGTGTGCATTCAAGAAGGACAAGCATCTCTGGTGTGTGAGCTTACCAAGTCCTTACCAAAAGAGCTGCTCATCTACTTCTGGTGTCTACCTGTCACTCAACCCTCATCTGGGGTTCCAAGAAGCTGAATCATGCATAGTGGCCATAAGCTAGTAAACTGTCTCAGCAGACAGGCTAAACCAGGTTTAGGGTAACTAATAGGTCTCAAACCTATCGGTGAGATAGAGGTTTGTCTTCCAAAAGCATGTGAAGATTTCCCCCAGTAGAATGAGCAGATGAGAACTTTTTGTCCCAGCGGCCACGAAGATGGCTGAAGCAGGCCCTGTGGAGCGCTTAGAGCTTGGTCAGACATCACAGATGCCAAGGACATCCCCGGTACCCCAGGCCATTGCCAGTCGTCTTGTCTTTTATCTTGCCACTGGTTTTTGATGACTCTGGAAGGGACAGTGAGGCTGATGATGCTGTGCCACTCTGCTTCACTTAAATCCAATTCACAAATGAGTCAAGACATAATCCAGTGCTATCATCGGTCCTTTTTGAAAACAAGGGGCAAACTACAACAACTACATATTGTGCCATTATATAAAGATTGCCCTATATTGAAAGCAGAATGTTCAGTAAATATTTTTGTTTTGTTTCATTTTAGGCAATTGGGGTTAAGTGACTTGCCCAGGGTTACACAGCTAGCAAATGTCAAGTGTTTGGTCTGAGGCCAGATTTGAACTCAGGTACTACTGACTTCAGGGCTGGTGCTCTATCCACTGCACCTGCCCCCATGTTCAGTAAGTATTGAAGAACCTCCTGTATGGGTGGGAAACATTTCTGGATCAGGGAAACATTTAGGAAATACCTTCTAACCATGTCTGTAGTAGGTCACAGGCAATTTAATGGACTAGGTAACTTCTAAGGATCCTTCCAGTTCTTTGTGATTCTATGATCTATGGCAGGGGCACTAAATCTTTGTAGTGACATGAATCCCTTTGGCAGCCTGGTGAAGCATCCTCAGAATATTTTTTAAATGTATAAACTATATAGAATTATAAAGGAAGTCATTATGTTGAAATATAGTTATCAAAATATTGAAAAAAGGTTTGTTGACCCCAGGTAAAAACCTTTGATCTATAGCAATCCTTTGGCAATCCACAGTACCTGACACACAGGCACTTAATGAATGTTTATTGATTGATGGATTGATCCTGCACAGATTCACTGCAGTGTGCACTCGTTCTTATGTGTAGTCAGAGGAGATGACACTGCAGTGGAATGTGGACTAATCCTGGCTACCTAACTGATCCTGATAAAAGCAGTCTTTGAACATGTACTGCCGAGTGTTTATATTTTTTATTGCCTTGGAGTAAAAATAGCTCTTACAATTATCATGGGAGAGGAGGAGAGAATGGGAGAACTTTCATGTTGATTTAGCCTCCATGTGAGATGTAATTAGGAATGTGAAATAATACAATGTAAGGTAACCTGGATTTGGAATTAAAGGTCTGGGGTTTTAATATTAGCTCTGCTGCTTTCCACCTGTCGATTTGGGGCAAACATTTACCCACATCCCTGTATTTCAGCTTTATCATCTGAAAAATAAAGGGTTCTACTAAATGATCTCTCATGGCTCTTCTAGCCTTAAATCTATAATCCTTTTTTCTAAGATCCATTGACTTCATTTTGTGTTCAATTCGGTAAACATCAAACTTTACCAAATGCTGTTCTCACCCTCAGGAAGCTTACAGTCTTAAGAGATATAAGGTAAGCACAAAGATATCACAACATAAAATAGAACATGATAAACATTTAGGACAGGCAAAACCAAAATGGCCACAGAAATCTGAGACTACATCCAGCCAACTTCATCAGGGAAATTTTTACATATAAACCATTTTGAATTAAAGAAAGTATTAAACACAAACAACATTTTTGCCGTTTATATGACATCCAGTAAGAAGTATCAGAGCAGTAACCAGCACAGAGCAACTGGACCTTTGCCTCAGAGTATCAAATTTGAAAGATGTCAAATTTAGGTCGCCATTTAAAATTTTCAAATTGCATAAAAACAGTAGAGCTTTGCACCTATCTAGCGAGAACAAATAATGAAAATAGGGACGTATCAGATTGTGGCAAGCTCGTTCCCCTAATATGTCCTCTGTTCTGGGAGCTGTTTTCACCTGGCACTGGTCTCTCATGCCCAAGGCTCAGTTTGTGATACTTATACCAAGCATAAACATTCCTGGTTGTTGCTCTGGTTGTTACACCCGAAGCTTTTTTTTTTTCCTTTGGCAGATTGATTTGGTATCATGTAGCCATCACTGGCTTCATTGCTACAAGGTTTAACTTATAGTGACCAAATTTAAACTTTAATGGACAGGCTCATCAGAGGCTCTCCCTGGAATTCTGGGCTTAGAGTCATCCTTTAAATCAGACTTTTGCTTAAATTAGCTTAAATACTCATTATTTCCTTCTCTAAACAATAGCAGTTGTGTTTGATTAATTATGTGGATTGCTAGAAATCCAGTCCTGTCACTAACTTATAAATCAGTTAACTTGGCTAGATTCTGTCCCCTACCCTGCTGAGAGTATCAGATGAAGGACTGTTGAAACAGAGTTGCATGATGGAACTGTTGGAGGTGAGCTGCCAGAGGAGCTTTTGACAAACCACAATGGTCTAAAACATTAATGTGAAATAGGAGGAAGACCACTTGCAATACCTGGTTGGACAGCCTTCTTCATTGGGATTAAAACCCTGCTGTGTTAGCATCCTCATGAGGGACGTAGCAGAAGTCAAGATCTAGAGTTTACCCTTGGAAGGATGGAATTTACATACAGGAGAAAGAATCCAGCAGAAGCCACCCTGAGTGATAGAGGTGAGTCTGGGAGCAAATCTACTATGCCTCCTCCTGTTCCTGACTCTTAGTATTCTTCTTTCCCTAGGCTTCCCTTCCTTTGCAATGTTGCTAATAGTAACAGGGAAAAGAAGACCTGCTGATTTCCAGTCACTGCTATCTTTCATATAATATTAGCTTATCTAGACAGCAGAATGCAAGGCCCAATGTTTATGTTAAAATTATTATCCATAATTCTCAATGAGACTTTAATTGCTTTAATTTCTGTTCTGAATGTAGAGTCTGGGATGTGTGCCAGGAATCATTTTTGAAAATAGGAAACACACACACACATACACACATAGATCCCCCCCCCCAGGTTTTGATTTTGCAACCATGTCCCTTGTTTAAGGGTTCATTTCATGAAATTTTAGAGCATTATACTTTCTGTTATTTTAAATTTTGTAATGAATTCAAACTTTAGGGGTATTGCTGAAAACTATTCCATTGAAATGGTCGACAATAACCCAATGAAAGACAAATGAAACACTTTCCAAGGTTATTTCATAAGAGTAAATTTTTCAAAAAATTGGGTCGATTTTTAAAAATTTCTCTACTATAAATGAAATGTACACACAAATGATGCATGAGAGCTGATGCCAAAGCTTTGCACTTATGCTCCATACTTCATCCTGCCTTTGACAGAGGTTGGTATGCTTTTGCTACTGAATATTTTGCTTTTATTAATTTTGAAATATAATCTTCCCAAAATCTAATATGAAAGACAGTAAAAATGTAATTGTTAGAAAGATAAGCTTAACAGTGCTTTGTACATGATAAGAAAATAAATTAAATAGCAACAAGGAAAAAATGAAAAATTCTACCCTTGGGGTTAAAAAACTAATGACTGTACAACTAAAGGATGGAGATGGGGTGGAATAAGGGGTTACCAGCCACTTGTCCATCTGAAAAAGATCTAAAGGTTTATTCCAACTCAAGTTCAATATCAGATACTCCCACTATGCAACAGCCAGAAAAAAATTGAATACCATCATTGGCTTCAGTAATTGAAGCATAGTACCTGGAAAAGGGGGCTATATATTTTATTGGTCAGAGCTCTTTTAGAATACTGTTAGATTCTACATTTCTGGATACTGATGAGCTGAAATACAAGCAGCAATGCAACCAGTATTAGCAAACTTAAATTGTCAAGGAACTGGGGTCGTTTAGAAAAGAAGACTTAGTTGAGACAAGATATCAGGCTTCAAGGACTGACAAGTCTATGTGGTAGAATTGAAATTAGCTCCCAAAGGGAAAAACTAGAAAACTGTAAAGTCAGATTCAGGCATGTTGAAAGGGAAAAAAAAAAGTTCTAACATGTAGAACTGTGCCAAAGTACAATGGATTGCCTTGTGGTCTTACTCACTGGAGATGTTTAAGTGGATGTGAGATATCTACTTGTCCTGCAGGGAGTCAAAAGGATTTCTATGCTAATATTGGGCTGAGAGTAGGGGAATGATATATTTTACCCCCCAAAAGTGGCTAGTGTCACCATGACTCCTTCTGGAAGGCTGTGGAACAACTGAGGCAGGGCGAGGAACTAGTAATGAAGATAACAGTTCCTCTACGGGAACTGTTGGGGATGGGGAGCAGGCCATCCTAGTGCAACTAGGGACACAGGTACAATTCTGGCCATTTATGGCTCAATTAAATAGCTATTCATTTAGCAACATTGACTCCTTTGAGACGAAGTAGGTGACAGAGCAAGAGGTGATTTTAAAGGTTATTTCTCTTTTTTTTCCCCTGAGTTATAAGCATTTTGATAAAAGATACTATGGATCAGAAGTAGTTTTGTGTGGGTGGTACCTTACTGGCAATTGCTACATTTACCTTTGATTTGATTTAACTTTGCATTTGACAAAGTTAAAAGACTCTAGTTACTTATGTTAACATTTGGGAAGGAGGAATGCTAAGCAGTTGATTTTTTTTTCAAAAATACTGGAAATAAGTAGCTTGAGATCTTTCACAATCATTTTCACTTGAGTTGACAGTTATTATGCAGCTAATTAGGATCGTAGCCATTTAAAATTGGGGGACCCTTAGCACTTATGTTGTCCAATGTTCTTGTTATATAGATGATTGAACTGAAGATCAGAGATTAAGTGATTTCCATAAGGCAGAGTCATAACTAGAAATTTAGGCACCCAGGGTAAGCTTTACAAAATGTATTTAGTTTAACAGAAGCAGACTTGCCTTCAAAACCATTTTCTAAGACAAATTCCATTGTGGTAAGGGCAATGACTCTTCTATATAATAGTGGACAGGGGGCAGGTAGGTGGTGCAGTGGATAGAGCACTGGCCCTGGGTTCAGGAGGACCTGAGTTCAAATCTGGCCTCAGACACATAACATTTACTAGCTGTGTGACCCTAGACAAGTTACTTAACCCCATTGCTTAGCCAAAAAAATATAATAGTGGACAGTGAGAGTCTGGGACATACACCTACGATGAGGAAATATAGACTCTGGGACAACTCCCATGGTCAGAAACTCCAGGACAAGAGGTTGTTGTTGGAGAAGCTGCCATGGAGGAAGGGGGAGGTCTAAGGTAGGCAAGAAAAATGAAGCTGGCTATCTGACATTTCCCAATTTAAATTAATCATCTTACTAACTAGGAGCCAAGTCAGTTGTTTTCCTGTTGCAGGAGTGCAGATGATAACAATGCCCTAGGACAAAATTCTAGTGGTCCAGCCCTAGTGATGGTTCTGGTCTAAGGCAGTGTAGCTGGTAAGCGATAGAGCCAGGTTTTCTGATACTAATTTTAGTATCCTTTGGCCTACACTATGCAGCATTATTTTTCCCCTGTGAATTTGACATGCAAATACATAGCAGGACAAAATAAAACACAATATACTTTGTTGATGCTGGAGTGGTACCAATGACAGGAATCTAAAGGTGATAGATCATCAATAACTGAGGAACCCCCTATTTTGGAAGATAAAGATTTCAAGACTTAAAAACTGAGTGTGTTCTTTTATGGGCTCTAAGTTAAAGTTCTGGCATGAATGGGGAGGACAAAGTGTGTAATAGAAATATGAGCTGTTAGGTAAGTGTTTTTCTAAAGCTTCACCTATTCACAAGTCATCTCTCAAATGTCCACCCCCCTTTTTATTGTTTCTAATATCAAACTAGGCATTTTAACATACTAGGTTTCATGGTACCATCTAAAGGCTCCAGATGACTGATGAGTCAAAATCTAATAATGTGGCTTTCATGGTATAGCTGAGGAAGCTCATTAGGTTGGTGGGTGTCCAAGACACAGCCTTACTGTCTTATAGATGTTTGAGAGTCAACTTTCAGCCCACTTGTAAGTTGGCGAGGTTCAAGGTTCATGTCACAGACTTCCCACAGCAAGTAAACTGGGTTCAAGGACTGCCACAAGCTCAAATGGATGAGCTTTACAATAAACATAAAATAGTGTGAACTCAGAGAAACAGGTTGAGGGATGCAATCTCTTGTCTCTAAAACATGTTGTTGTTCAGTTATTTCAATTGTATCCAGCTCTGATCCCATTGTGGGTTTTCTTGTCCAGATACCGGAATAGTTTTCCATTTCTTTTTTCTAGCTAATTTTATAGGTGAGGAAACTGAGGAAAATGATGTTAAGTGACTTGCCTAGGATCATACAAGCTAGTAAGTATCTGAAGTCAAATTTGAGCTCAGGTCCTCCTGACTTCAGGCCCTGAGCTCTATCCACTGTACCACCTAGCTGCCCCAAATGAGACAGCATGGTGTAGTGGTAAAAAAGCCTTCAATCTGAATGAAGCCTGAAAGCATTGGTTCAAATCCCTCTTCTGTTCCTGAAATAGTGAATGATCTTGAGCACATCACCACACTTTTCTATGACTCAATGTATGTGACTCTTTATGTGTAAAAGAAATATATCAATAATTCACCTTTATCTCCTGTGGCTATTGTGAGGAAAATGATGCCTCAACTCCAAAGTGCTGCCAAAATGCTAACGTTTATAATTCTTTCTCTCTTGCTGTGGCAAACTCCATGGCTGTGTGAAATGACTGAAGGGCATCAGTTTATGAGTCATTCATAAACAAACACAAAGCAGCCATTTGATTAATTAAAAAACACAATACCAATGGCCACCAAGCTACCCAGAGGGTATTTGAACAGTCTCTTGATTTTCAGTCTTGGTAGAAGCCAAGTGGAAAGGAACCAAATAGTTAGCTCACCCTTCCCCAAGGCAGTGGGCAGGGAGATCCATTTTAGATTAGAGGCTAAAGGCCTCTGGAAAGAACTGACCCTCGACAAAATTATGACATGGAAAGAGGACTCATTTGAGGGTCAGATGTCATAGTTTCCAATCTTTTCTCCGATGTTTGCTGCCTGTGGGATCCTAGGCAAATCGCTTTACCTCTTCTCAGTTTCCTTATCTATAAAATGAAGAAGTCCAACCAAAATTAGCTCTCAAAACTCTTCTAGCTCTAAATCTGTGATCTGATGTTCTTATGGTAGGTGACTACTCCCCCTGTCCCTGGTACACTTTCTTCTCAGGGGCTACCCATCCCCTCCAGATATTTTTGCCTTCCCAGAGTTTTCAATTGTGACAGCCCCCTATCTTCAAGGTGGTATTTGAGTAACTTCTGCTAATAATGAGAGTACTCCTGGGTCCCCCAAAATCAGTGGCTTTAAATTTTTTTTTCAAGATTCTAATCACAATAATTTCACAGGCTGACACTTAGACCCAAAGTGGTAAAATGGGAAAATGAGGATCATAGACTCATAGTTGGAAGGAACCTTGAAGATTATCTAATCCACTCCTCTCATTTACAGCTAAGGAAACTAAGGCCCAACAATTCAATGAGTTGCCCAAGGGCAAACAAGCAGTAAATGAATAAACTGGGATTTGAATTCAGGTCCTCTGAATTTAGCTTCCAAGTACAGTGATCCTTCCATTGTACCACAGTGCCTTTTCTAAACCTATTAGCCACCATAATTTTGTATGAGTTATTTAATCTCCCCTAGCCTCA